CAACGTAAGTTTGAGCCCTAGCTCCAGCGGAGACCATGTACATCACCCACTTCTTCCTGCTGTTAGGCGAGATCATATTGATGATCTTTTGGTACCGAGCACGCGGACAGGGCCAATAGAGTGAGTCGAAGCATCATTGATCTCCGGGAATTCAGATGATCGTGCCGTCAATTAATGCCACAGGGAATCGACGATCGTCGGATGAGCGGAGTGAGCTTCATGTACAGAGGCACATTTCTCACTTCGTCTATTCCTCCTCTAACTTAATTCACAAGTCGTGTCTAACACCTTGCTCTCTCCGATATCTGGAGTCATTACAATAAGAACGATGAGTGGGAACTGAGATTAAATTGTTGAATAACTTCTCCGGCCAATGCAGATCCTACTTATTGCCGTCGAAGGGCTCGTGGATTCCATTACATAGGTAATAGCCTGTGCTAAATCGATAACTTGTCGTTTTCTTCTTCTTACGGGTGTTCTCGTCTTTACTAACGCAGTGTCTAAACACCGTCACGATAATCTTCATAGCCTCCTCGGTAGGCTTCGCTTTCTGAACAGCAGTAATAAAATTATTCCATTGCTTTGCGCTCAACATGTCCGACCGAAGGCTCTCCACAAACGCCACAATGTCTGCATCACCCATTTCCTGAATTTCGTCGTTGTCAAGCACAAGCCATGGCAGGTAGAGACTATTGCTACTTGGCACCAGGTGTGACCCAAAGTGTCGTAGATAGCGATTCTCCTTCCGAAACTGCTTAGAACACTGCGACCAGCCAGTATTTGTCTCCACAGGTATCTCGCACACGTAGCTAGTAGTCGCTCTCTGCCGTCGATGGTGCGTCTGTACTGCGACTGAATGAGACGCTGGCGGGTAATTGGCCAAAGGCATATTCCAATCCACATTGAATTGAACGCTTGTCGCTGGATTGCCGCTAATTTGACCCGTCCAATCGCTGCCCTAGGTCAACTGATGCGTCCGATACTGGGTTCTATGGATCTTCGGCTACTGACATATCTGGGTAGTAGGAGCCACAGACCTCGTTCGAAGTCCTAGAAGGCAACCCGGAATAATTGAGCTGCTGGGGTATGTAGATAGCATAGGGGTCATCTGAGAGGACTTCACACTCTGTTTCTGCTCCTAGGGAAGTCGCTGACAATGGTTCGAGAGGCGTTTGCGACTGCATCTTGCTGTCAAGGCGGACGCTAGAAAGTCAGTACCCTCCAGATTTCTGCCGGGCGTAAGTACAACTAAAAGTGCTTTAAATACTAAGTTTCGAAAATACTGATGTCCGGAAGAGGCAGTCTGAAAAGGCGCAGGCCCCACATGCCGACGCTGTGTGCCATTTCGCTGATGTATCGTACTAGGTATAAGTTGATTGATCCCTGCAGTGATGAGAGCTACAGGGCGCGCAGGAAGCGTCTCTGTAAGGCTCAGTAAGCAGGCAACCAGTGGACCGACTTCTAGGCGAGTCTTCGTACTTTACGGCCCTGTAACAAGATCTACTAAGCTGGTTAGCAGTGAGCCTTTCGACTGTCGCGGAGGACTCAGTAAACAATACAGTGCTTGTTCTCCATCAATCACAGCGTCCGCTAGTAAGAAAGTACAGTGCATCATGCATATGAATCTTTGAGAAACTCTTGTACCACCTAGGAGCTTATCGCCATCTTCTAGACAACATGACTACAGAGGCACGAATTCTTGAAGCAACACTTTACTGAGCCGTCATACTTTACTGCGCCGTCAGACTTTATTGAGCCACTACACTATTGAGCGCTAGTATCGTTACGAGTGAAGCCGAGCCGTGAGAGATTCTTTCCTGGTGACTAGTTGCTAGCTGATCATGAAACTACATTGGCTTGCACCTGCTCTTTCTAGCGAAGCATTTCAGAAGTGGACTTGCCCCCATCTCCGACGTCTGCCTTGGATTACTCACACGATCCAGGCATTCTGCAACTCCTCCGACTTGTTCGCTGACGTCAATGAATACTCCTTCGAGCCGGACTTGGATCTTCTGAGGGGACAATGTCAATCTCCGTGGCCAATCGAGTTCCAACAAGAAAACTGGGAGTCGCTGCAGGAGACGACCGCAACATGGAACACCACGTCAGAAGATATCTCTTGGAGAGAATGTGAGCCTCGGGTCGTCCAGATAGACCCATATCATGGACTCCCTGAGCAGGTAGCATTGCTCGAGCTTCGTATTACCCAGGAAGAGTATTGGATAGATCAGCTCCAGCTCTGTTCTACTCGGCTGGATGCTCGAGCATTTGACTTGGAAAAGAAGTCAGGTCCTATCAATATAACTAGTACTTCCCGATTATGTACGGTACAAGTCAGCTCAAGCTCTATTGACAATCTCGACCCTTCAAAACCCGTGAATATGGCGCCGTATGGGTTAAGTACGTGGTATTGTGGAGAGAAAGCAGAGGTAAAGTGAGTGCTGAAACAATGCAGTGCTCTGGCCGAAAGAGTTCCTGTCCAAGGATATTCCAAAAAGTCGAATCCTGAGCTTTATCCTACTAAGATTCTGACCCGCCTCTGCGATGACCTACGCTAGAGCCTAGAACTGGTTTTTCGGGCCAAAACTTCCATCGAGTACTAATAGTTACTTAACGAATAGACGTTTTAGACGACTTAGTACTCTTAAGTATATATCTAGGTATATAAAAGTCGTCTAGGCGTACGAAAATCTTCTATATAGACTTAAATTTACCGTATTTTTACGCTATTTCTTCACTCTAGACAGACTATCTACTAAACTTCACTCAACTTCAATTCTACTACTAGAACTGACAGCCCGGTTCAAATATACCGCGAGGTAGACTAAAGTGCTCTGTGAACACACTTCGCACTCCTTGCACTGTCTTTTGCATTATTAAAAAACCAACACATATGCAAGATTCGTATATATCTACAATCGCCATATCTGTTGAGAGGGCATAACAAAAGAAAACTGGCCTCTAATTCACGTTTCTTGACATCTCCTGCGATTTCACATGTTTATGCAGCCAGGATCTAATATACGGTGCCTTGATGCAGCTGGTCTCTTTTTGTGTGTGATAGCCTCCTATCTTAACTATCATTACATTACACAAAGCAAAGACGGCTCAGGTCTGTCCAGGACCTCCCCGCACAGAAAACATCGTTTAACTCCCTTCCAAGATCAATTTGAGAGTCTAGAAGTAGTGTGCGAGGGCACCGAACATGGAATCAGCAATGACTGTCCGGGGGTGGACGCCCGTGATGGTAACCATGGCATCCGTGGAAACCGAGGCGATGCACTATATATGTGTAAGTAGTTGGATAGGAGCTGCATTTAAGTATATACGTACGTGATCGTTTGTCATCATTGCTCGTCTGCGTCGGAGACATAGCATTAGAATTCGGTGAGTATAATGTAGGATTCACTGCTGCGACTGCCAACGTAAGGAGGGACATTGCCAGGGCTGCCGTACACGCAAGTGCTCTCATCTTTGGTTCAATGCTGCCGCGAGAACTATCAAAAGATGACTTTTTCTTCTGATGATCAGTGAGCCAAGAAGATCATTAACAAGCCGCTCGATGGAGAATGAGGAGATACTTATGTGGCTCGGCAAGCCGTGTTACTGAGCCTTTTACATTGATATGCTGAGGACTTAGTGCGCGCCCTGTCGATCTCATCGCCTCAGGAACCAAAGCAGTAGCAGCCCGCGCCCTTTCACACATTAGTCTTGTCGAAACTTAGGATTCCAAGCCATCCGGATCTTGTACTACCTCAACGAAGGAAGGATCAATGAAAACGTTGAAGCGACAAAAGATATTCCCGCTCAACTACGTAGGATCTTCTTGCCGCATTCGCATTCGGGTGGACCTAAATGGCGCGAGTGGCGTGAGTCCTGGAGAAGGGCGCGCAAGAGGCCCATTCTGTATATCGACGTTAGAGACTCAGTAAGTTCTTGCCAGTGTCGATCCCAGAGTGGCTCAGTCGAGTCTCAGTATTCTACGGTGAAAGCAATTGCTCAACGGTTCACGCAGCGGCTCGCAGACCCATATCTTACTAGGCATGAGAGTGAAGAGCTTGCTGCGCGCCCTCATCACTGCAAGGTATAATGCAGTTTATCAGCGAAATGCCACGCAGCGTTAGGCACGTGGAGCCTGCGCCCTCTCAATCTGGGAACTTCGGTAGAGTAAAGCGTGACAAAGTTGATTGACAGTCCTGTCTAGTCTAGCTAAGTAAGACCTGAGCAATATACATGTAGTCTGAACAGCTTAATTTAGTCCGTGTTCCCATTCATTGCTATCACTCCGAGGCAAGTCTCTAGACTGGCTGCGATGAAATGTAAGTTATAGAGATGTAGCAGGAGTCCTACATATAACAGGCATGGTGACTAGAAAGAGAAACGTTTGATCATATGCCCGCCAGGTACAGTTATAAGGACGAATGGGAGCTTGTGATGACGCAGTAATAACGGCAAGAAGATAGTAGCCCGTATTGAACTGGTACTTGGCTGTTGCCATCTTCTTTCGAGTACTCGTCCTTTCCACCCAATGCTTAAACACACTTGTGATAACCTTGACTGTCTATAAACGCCAAAAGATCTAGGTTGTCCATACTCTAGACTTCCTTGTTATCAAGTATGACCCATAAGAGAGTACCGAGTCGCAGGTTTGGTAAGGCTTGTCGACTGTGCAAAGGCCAGTCTACTTTGGGGCAGGACTTCAATATGAAGCCTAGGCAAGTCCACTTCTGAAAATCTTCGCTGGAAAGGGCAGGTGGAAGCCGATGTGGTTTCATGATCAGCTGGCGACTAGTCACCAGGACAGAATCTCTCACGACTCAGTTTCAATCGTAACGATATTAGCGCTGAATATTGTAGTGGCTCAGTGAAGTGTGACGGCGCAGTAAGGTGTGACGGCTCAGTAATGTCTGCGGCTCAGTAATGTCTGCGGCTCAGTAAAGCCTTAGTGACTGAGCATACATTACCGTAAGTCACTCCCGATGAGCTCTTTACCTGGGGTATACTTCGCAACTTGGTACTTTATGCGAAATAGCCCTACCTGACTCGTAAGCATGGGCCAAAAATTGGTCAATAAAAAGTTCCGCAAGGCTAAAGACAATTTTCTTCGGAAAGGCGTGCTTTTCAAGAAGAGTTATGGCGCAGATATCTTCATCGTCATAAGGCGCGGTCAAAAGATTTATATATGTGACTCCGAGGACGGTGTCTCTTGGCTGACAGATCTGAAGATGCTAGTAAGATGAAGGCGCTGATCATCTGGGAGAATGTACTAACAAGGCCAACAGGACCAGAATTACCCCATTCCGATTCGCGTAACGCCAAAACTATTCGAGACTTGCCCCCGTTCCAAGAAGTTGAAATTGGTTCAGAGAAGAGATAGGGTAGCCGATGATGTGATTGTGACAGAGGGATGATAGGCTATGTACAATACAGATCATTCCACGAACAGTACGCGAGTAGTCCGCGTGACGTACATGACATACCATTTGAGGTCCGCATCACCATGAATTTGGGAAACAAATGTATGAGCAGCAAGATCTCCGAGAGATTTCGCACAGCCCGTCATAGCTATAAAGCCCAGGGCATCCGGATCCTATCCTGCCAAGTTGAGGGGCTTGTAAGGCCGTGTTCTAACAGTCAATATGGCTATCAATATGACACCTCTCTTACCCTGCGCAGCATTGGCTCTATGCATATGCATGCTAAGCTGGTTCCTGCGACTATTGACACCTCAATACCGGCGATGGGTGTCGCAAAATTCCAGCTTGGCTTTCGAGCCAGAGTCCGCCTTTACTTGGCGTTGGGAGCTCACTATTGTTGGTGTACCTACCAGCCTGTTGGTCCTCTCTATTGTAGGCTTGAGAGCCCTGAAAGACGATAATATGAATATGCAGGTCTGTGAATCATGGCCTGCTTGTAATAACACGCACACCCAAGTCTGGGAGTCATTGTCTGCTTCAGGTATCCAGCTTGTATCCTATCTTATCTCATACATCATGGTATGCGCCGGTGCTTGCTACGCACCGAGCCATGCTAACATTTATAGCGACGATGGTCGACTAGAGGCTTTCACTGGGACGCGAAATCGGAATCATATTACGTCTTCTTCCTTGAGGCGATCTCTGCGATTGCCGTTACGATTTCAGCTTTCTTTACATCAGCAGATGGCATCGCAATCTTCTGCGCGATCTCTGCCGTCGCAACGCCCTTATTCTATCCCCGTCAACTGGACCCCATTGATGTTTGCGAGGCGCGGCGACTGCAGTGGTCGCGGTATATCTACATCCCCATAGCCATCTGTCGAATTGCCCAACTATGGCTTCAATTCAGGCGTGAATGGGTCATATACATTCGCTGCGTAAGTGGAATCTTCACTTACACCGCTCCATACGTCGGCCGTCTCAGACTCTGTGACTAACAGAAGTAGGCTGATATAGTCGTCACTGCACTCTGGACATTTCTACCCTACGTCATCCTAGCACACAACATTTCCAATTGGAGGCTTCGTGTCGATATATCATGGGGCGAGTCTCGCGCAGACGTCGAGCAAGGAGCTCCTTGTTTATTCGAAGCATATCAGCGTTATGGCCATCCCTATAATCGAAAAGAAGGCAGTACCGGAGTGATGCAAAGCCTTTCGGCAGAGACCACTCTACTTTCCATATCGGAGACCTCCAACCAACAATACGATGGATGCAACATTGGCGTAAGGTCGATGGAAGATGCATGCGCGGAGGAGTCTCAACTGGGCCATTCATCCCAACCTCAGGGACCGGTAGCCCCACCGAACTCCCCGATCAGCATTACAAATCGACTTCTCTCATCTCAGGACGTCGTATCTCGTGCGTATCTCGAGGGATGTACTCGCATCTGGTTACCACCTAAAGTCAGAGACACCAAAATCTGGTTTATCTTGCCAGGATATATGTCTGATCGCCGCATTCCTGATGAGCCGCACCAACTCCTTTTTGACTTGCTCCTCACGATACTGAGCCCCGGTGTACAATCAAGTGAATTTAAGGAGTTCGATAAAGCTCAAATACTGGAGGAGTGGTTCAGGTACATACCTTTGGGTCTCTACCCTGGATCCAAGGAGCTAGAAGAATTCGCTGTCTCCTTTGTAATGAAAGTGTGTCCTTTCATTACAGACCTCACTACAACGGCGTACAACACTCTTAAGAGACTTCGAACAAATGCGTGGTCTGCTCCTCCCTCAAATCTGAAATCCAGTCCTACCATCGTGTGCTCAGAAGAAATGACCATGGTCCTTGAGCTGATTCAAAGAAGTGCCACTCTTCGAAACTTAGAGGCCACAGATCTGGCAGACTGTTTGAAGAATTTGCGGCAATGTACAGAGGCCGGTCCTGGATCAGCTACTCACTACTGAAATCGATGAGTACCTGAAATCCGCCAATCTACATTCTAGCAAGCTATCTAAATCTCCGTCGCCAATACGCGTCTAATAAAAAGTCAATGACTCCAAATAATGCACCGTACACCGGACCCACAGTTACTGTGATTAGTAAGTATCGATGCACGATGGAATCGCGTCTGTGTTTTACTATCGTAAATGATACCGACCCAGTCCATGCTCCTAACAAAGACCGTGATTGGGAGGCTGCGTCATTTCTGATTTCTCCCGATGATGAGCTTCACGAAGGTGACAAAGAGGAGAACTACCAAAGGCGTTTTGAAAGGCATGTTGAGAGCCACGAAACTCGTCGATTGGCTAGCTTTACTGGTACCTTCTCGTTGGCACGCCTGTAAGCAGCAGGAAACACATTTGCATCGGTGAGATCTTGGTTTTCGGCGTCACAGGAGCGATGCGCTGGATGCTGGATACCACGATTAGCTATAGTGTGAAGCGGCGAGCTTTTCGTTATAAGGCGGCAGCTGTCCTGCTGCGCAAGGTGAAAGTCTGATTCGTACCTGATTAAGGTGGGAGTACGTCCGTAAGAAGCCAGCTGCAGCCGCGCGAAGGTCGCTTCCATCACAATCAAGCGATTCTGCCTTTTGATCTAGATAAGCGTCCCAGAAGTCGTGCGAAAGAAGGTATCGGGGAATAGGTTTGATGAATATGCGATTGTGTATCCATACAAGATGCAAGCGGGCCTCTTCTGTCACCACAATCTCACGGCCTTTGACACGTTGGCGGTGTAAAGAATTAATGTAAAGTGTACGCTATCCATTTGCAAAGTATCTACTAAGCATTCCTAGGAGGACGGTGCGCTTCATTTTGACCACAATAAGCACACATGGGCTGCTAATGGAGCTGTCCCCCAAAAGTAGAAACGAAGAATCGATCGGCCTCCGAATGTTTCAGCTGACCTAGTTATGACTGGAGATGTATCGACCACTACTCTCACGGATATTTATGATCCACTACTCGAGTGGACTATCAAGAAGGTCATCGTTCGTAATTATACAGTACGTTCGCCATGAATAGAGCTCGTCACCTGGATCTAACTCATATCAAGCAGGTCATTTTTTGCGAGACAGGCATGCTCCTTTCCCAAACCGATGTCTTTGTCCTGCTACTAAGTAATAGAGACTGGCGCGTGCTCATCCCAGAAGACGGTACTGTACCCTTCATCAGATAGATCGTAGTGCTGAGAACTTCTAGTCATTGCTAACTTGCATGCTTATGCTCATGCGATGGAAAACGACACACGAAGAGTACAAGCAGAACAGGCTCTGAGAAGCATCAACACGGCATTATCGCAGGGGAAAAAGCTTTCGATTGTTGATTCTCAGGGCAATGCGATAACCGACCCGTGCAAAGCTGTGGAACGCGACAGTAGTAATGCTACGTACAAGATTTTCTGTCGTCGACCCGGATGACACACGAGGGCCGGAGGCGCATGCATCATCTATGTTTATGAAGTTTTGAAGTTTGTTGATGAGCTTAATGAGCGCAGCGTCGTTAGCGCTAATGCTGGACAAGAGTTTCCATAAGCTTCTCTACAGCCTTGTGTCAATCGTAGTCCACTTACGCATTTGTATATGTTGGTTCTGTACGTGATTGTACATGAAGCACACCCATGACGGAGTTCTTGGAAAATGGACCAGATGCTAGCAACGTGTGTATAAAAATGGACTGCCACCATCACTTCCAAAGGAGCGGACAATTACAACCTAAATCGACCCTTCTATGCATCTCAACTTTCGACTTGCAAATTGCAGTGAGAGGCATTGCGTGGCTTTGCCAATAATTTTGTTTTGCAAGGATGCGCTTTAGAGTCGTACTATCACATAGGAGGAGTCCATTCTGAAACGGTAGGTGACAGTATCACCTAGCTACAGTTGACAACCCATGTCCCGATTCAACATCAAGGGGCTGCTCGGAGCAATCAGTGGAAGCCTGGTTCACCTCGGCGCTGCGCTTTTCCTATGAGAGAGCTGAGCGTGAGGGTACTACCGGCCATGTCCGTGGATCGCGCCGAACCCATCATGCAACAAAACCTGCCGACTACATCGTCGAGTTGTACGCCATTCGCCACAGCTCATCCGATTTCACCGCCGTTGATTACTGCCACGCGTGGAACCTACACTTGTTATATTGAATTCCCAGATATTGTTGAAGACTTTTCACGGGCATGGAAACCTTTGGCCTCAATCATTCCTCACTTCCTGTCACTTTCTAGGCTATGGAAAGACTATCGTCTTATCAGATTTTGCTCGAATGCATGTGTTCGACAAGAATTTACAAGCCCAAATACCGTTCTGAAGTTTGCTCAACCGACGGAGCTGCCCAGAGCCCTGATCCGTCACGAAATCAACCTTTTGCCCCAAATTCGAGAGTAACACCTACCAGTTGTTACGACAGGTGAAGCAATAATGGACAAGCAAACAATTGTTGGCTACAGAATGGGAAGTCTGACGTCGCTTGCACCGCACGACTTGAGAGGAGTGGAAGGAATTGCAAGAATTGATTTGCAAATTGCACAACGCTGGCTTCTGCCATGGCAACCTCTCCGAAAGCAACATCTTGCTTGAGCTCTGGTCTTTCCAGCGCGGGCTCGTAGGATTATATAGAACTAATATATAGTAATTTTTATAGCTATATAGGTATTATACGGCGGTAATAGATAAAAATGTTAATTATACTAAATCGTGTGTGTTGGTGACATGGGCGAACATCGGGCGCCAAGCTTTCCCATGGATGTAACTATGGATATACGGATAGGATGCCAGCGTCGCACAATAAGCCCACGTAGTATTTAACCTATATTCGTGATAGCACCGGTTCCAGGAAATCAAACTCTGGAAGCAAAGCAAGGTTTCGGTAACGCCAGCTAAGACCGAGACAGACACGCTCTCGGCCGGCATTTTGACTCCATATGTTTGTCCATAGTCACATGAGAAAGCTTGGCAGTTGATGCACGCATGTCGCGCGCGCACACGAACCGTAGTATCAACAATAGTTTTATCTATTACCATCGTACTATATATACCCCTATATCTATAATATACAAATTGACGCTAACTAATTCTCTGCTTCTTGCGTCGCCCAACATTATTATGGTCAAATGATGCTTTCCTCTTTTGGTGATCAGCGCGTCCAAATTGCGCGTCCAGGCCTTGGGCTTTGATGAGTCGGTCAATCGAAAAGGGCGAGCCACTGATGTGAGTTGTCGCATCATCCAACTTGAGCCACAATGTGAACTGTCCACGCGACACGAATTCGATTCTTTTGCAGAATCTTCCACTAGCGTCGGCGAAGGATCGGTCGCCAACCACACCGGGAAGAGGCCGCACATCCACCATAAAGCATGCCTTGCCCTCTGCGAGCCGCCTTATCAGCGCATCAAAACCATCGTCGGCCGGGCCCAAGACGCAGCGTATGCTGCCGGCGACCTCTAGAGATTCCCCTGGTCCTTGCGGCATTCTGTCTAGCTCAAAATAGAAGAGCGACGCGACTGCGGCGCGGGCCACAGCCTCAACGCCGCCCGAGATTCTCACATCACCTGCAGCCAGGGACGCGAGCGAAGGTATCATAGCGGTATCGTCAAGCCGCGGCTCCGACCCTTCGAAATGAACATTAAGGCGATGGATGCGTTGCGCAGTCTGGGTCGCGGAGCGGATGCCGTTCAATACACGTCTCACAGTTCCGTCACGCATCTTCTCCAGAAGGAGATCGCGAGCCCTCGTGAACATGCCAGACTTGCGCAGGCTACGGCGGTCCTGCTTGTCGGCCTCGTATGCTGCTGGTGCTGGCTCGCCCGTACCTAGTGACAAGACCATGTCTGGCTCCGCGACGTACGGAAACAGCGCGCGCATCTCCGACAGCGCCTGGCTAATGGGGTTGTTCTCGAGCGGCCCGGCATCTTGGAACGTCCCGACTTGGTCGATGTGGGCAGCTGGGAAGAATCTAGACTGGCATTAGTTCATGTACAAAGTCGTGCTTTCTATGAGGTAGGAAATCATGATCTGACCCTGGGGCGGCAGAGATGGCACGAGCGCTTAGTAAGGTTAGTAGGGAGTTCTAAAAACAGGAGGGAGGTTAACGAACACTTCCCATTGCGGCACCTTCCCAAATCCATCTTCCGCCCGAATGGTGGGCTCACCTACCACAGCGCAGTTAGGTCCGATGGGGCAAAGCAAGGAGCTGAACGCACCTGTTGGACTCGCAAGCCTCGCACCAACCCCGTTGTAGTTCGTGAAGATACGACACGCTGGATGTGTGTGCACTGTTGCCACTGGCAGACCTATCCTGGTCCCTGCAGCTGTCGCAAAGGATGCGCCTAGGATACTTTGCCCTGGATGAAAGACCTTCTTCAGCACACTCTCGATGTCTTTTACCGGATACAGCCCATCGGCGAAGATTGTCATGACGGACCGCCAGAAACGCGAAAGTACCGGCAGACCCCAGCTTTTACGCGGGTTGAAGATGGCAACCGCCATCTGCTTAAACAGCTGAGTGGACTCCTCAATAGTTGAGCCGTTGAAAAACATGTTCATGATGATTAGCCCTCCTACCGTGGTCAGTGCAGCCATTCCACTTCTTCGCCTCTACGTACCGGAGCTCACACCGAACGCGAGCTTGAAATATTGCTGGAAAGGGATTGGGAGGTCGATACAGTCCTGGATGCGTTGCATGATCGTCAACGGTACGATGCCTCTCGTGCCTCCGCCGTCAATGCAAAGGATACTAACGCCTGCCGTCGGTGGATGCACACGAACTCGGATCTCCCGCTGCATTCCCATGTGGCAAAGAGGACACACACAAACACGATATAGATATGGATGGTGCTGCTCTTGTTCGCCGTGTATAACGACGCAGTTTTCGCACAACATATGGCTGCACTCGAGTGCATACTGCGGAGTGCGTAGTGTACAGCTGAGGCAGGTACGTTCGCTTCGTAGGGCCCCCCACCGACCGCAGAATCGCTTTAGGTTTCTCTGATGAATCGCAACTGCGGACAATCCGTCTGGCTGAGTGTGCTCCGCGAAGTATCGTTGAAAATGCTGTTGTAGCATCTGAAGGAGGCCAGTGCGTAGTAGCACGTCAGCGGAATCGGAAAAGGCAATTACGCGACTGTCCGGGCAAACTCCATCGAAAGCTCGAGCATAGAGCTTCGAGAAAACCTCACTCGGTTCAAAACCTTGCTTGTTGTTAGACTCGGTATGAGACAAAGAGATCCATTACTTACAATGCGAGTCCGGTGGGTAGCTGTCGAGAAAGAGACATGATGCTAGCATTGGCACAGCGAACTCGGCTAACTGTGATGTGGATGTGAGTAGAGCAAACACGTTAGCCAAGTGTTGGCCAAGGTCACTGGGTACCGGACGAGTAGCCCGCGACGCGATAACGCAATCGAGCGGCTCTGCGGACGATTCAG